TGGTCTCTGCCACTTGTATAATGAGAGCTTGGTCTCTGCCACTTGTATAATGAGAGCTTGGTCTCTGCCACTTGTATAATGAGAGCTTGGTCTCTGCCACTTGTATAATGAGAGCTTGGTCTCTGCCACTTGTATAATGAGAGCTTGGTCTCTGCCACTTGTATAATGAGAGCTTGGTCTCTGCCACTTGTATAATGAGAGCTTGGTCTCTGCCACTTGTATAATGAGAGCTTGGTCTCTGTCACTTGTATAATGAGAGCTTGGTCTCTGCCACTTGTATAATGAGAGCTTGGTCTCTGCCACTTGTATAATGAGAGCTTGGTCTCTGCCACTTGTATAATGAGAGCTTGGTCTCTGCCACTTGTGTAATGAGAGCTTGGTCTCTGCCACTTGTATAATGAGAGCTTGGTCTCTGCCACTTGTGTAATGAGAGCTTGGTCTCTGCCACTTGTATAATGAGAGCTTGGTCTCTGCCACTTGTGTAATGAGAGCTTGGTCTCTGCCACTTGTATATGAGATGAGAGCTTGGTCTCTGTCTCTGCCACTTGTATAATGAGAGCTTGGTCTCTGCCACTTGTATAATGAGAGCTTGGTCTCTGCCACTTGTATAATGAGAGCTTGGTCTCTGCCACTTGTATAATGAGAGCTTGGTCTCTGCCACTTGTATAATGAGAGCTTGGTCTCTGCCACTTGTATAATGAGAGCTTGGTCTCTGCCACTTGTATAATGAGAGCTTGGTCTCTGCCACTTGTATAATGAGAGCTTGGTCTCTGCCACTTGTGTAATGAGAGCTTGGTCTCTGCCACTTGTATAATGAGAGCTTGGTCTCTGCCACTTGTATAATGAGAGCTTGGTCTCTGCCACTTGTATAATGAGAGCTTGGTCTCTGCCACTTGTATAATGAGAGCTTGGTCTCTGCCACTTGTATAATGAGAGCTTGGTCTCTGCCACTTGTATAATGAGAGCTTGGTCTCTGTCACTTGTATAATGAGAGCTTGGTCTCTGCCACTTGTATAATGAGAGCTTGGTCTCTGCCACTTGTATAATGAGAGCTTGGTCTCTGCCACTTGTATAATGAGAGCTTGGTCTCTGCCACTTGTATAATGAGAGCTTGGTCTCTGCCACTTGTATAATGAGAGCTTGGTCTATGCCACTTGTGTAATGAGAGCTTGGTCTCTGTCACTTGTATAATGAGAGCTTGGTCTCTGCCACTTGTGTAATGCGAGCTTGGTCTCTGTCACTTGTATAATGAGAGCTTGGTCTCTGCCACTTGTGTAATGCGAGCTTGGTCTCTGTCACTTGTATAATGAGAGCTTGGTCTCTGCCACTTGTGTAATGAGAGCTTGGTCTCTGCCACTTGTGAGAGCTTGGTCTCTGCCACTTGTGTAATGAGAGCTTGGTCTCTAATGAGAGCTTGGTCTCTGCCACTTGTGTAATGAGAGCTTGGTCTCTGCCACTTGTATAATGAGAGCTTGGTCTCTGCCACTTGTATAATGAGAGCTTGGTCTCTGCCACTTGTATAATGAGAGCTTGGTCTCTGCCACTTGTATAATGAGAGCTTGGTCTCTGCCACTTGTATAATGAGAGCTTGGTCTCTGTAATGCACTTGTAATGAGAGCTTGGTCTCTGCCACTTGTATAATGAGAGCTTGGTCTCTGCCACTTGTATAATGAGAGCTTGGTCTCTGCCACTTGTATAATGCGAGCTTTGTCTCTGTCACTTGTATAATGAGAGCTTGGTCTCTGCCACTTGTGTAATGAGAGCTTGGTCTCTGCCACTTGTATAATGAGAGCTTGGTCTCTGTCACTTGTATAATGAGAGCTTGGTCTCTGCCACTTGTGTAATGCGAGCTTGGTCTCTGTCACTTGTATAATGAGAGCTTGGTCTCTGCCACTTGTATAATGAGAGCTTGGTCTCTGCCACTTGTGGTAATGAGAGCTTGGTCTCTGCCACTTGTATAATGAGAGCTTGGTCTCTGCCACTTGTATAATGAGAGCTTGGTCTCTGCCACTTGTATAATGAGAGCTTGGTCTCTGCCACTTGTATAATGAGAGCTTGGTCTCTGCCACTTGTATAATGAGAGCTTGGTCTCTGCCACTTGTATAATGAGAGCTTGGTCTCTGCCACTTGTGTATAATGAGAGCTTGGTCTCTGCCACTTGTATAATGAGAGCTTGGTCTCTGCCACTTGTATAATGAGAGCTTGGTCTCTGCCACTTGTATAATGAGAGCTTGGTCTCTGCCACTTGTATAATGAGAGCTTGGTCTCTGCCACTTGTATAATGAGAGCTTGGTCTCTGCCACTTGTATAATGAGAGCTTGGTCTCTGCCACTTGTATAATGAGAGCTTGGTCTCTGCCACTTGTATAATGAGAGCTTGGTCTCTGCCACTTGTATAATGAGAGCTTGGTCTCTGCCACTTGTATAATGAGAGCTTGGTCTCTGCCACTTGTATAATGAGAGCTTGGTCTCTGCCACTTGTATAATGAGAGCTTGGTCTCTGCCACTTGTATAATGAGAGCTTGGTCTCTGCCACTTGTATAATGAGAGCTTGGTCTCTGCCACTTGTATAATGAGAGCTTGGTCTCTGCCACTTGTATAATGAGAGCTTGGTCTCTGCCACTTGTATAATGAGAGCTTGGTCTCTGCCACTTGTATAATGAGAGCTTGGTCTCTGCCACTTGTATAATGAGAGCTTGGTCTCTGCCACTTGTATAATGAGAGCTTGGTCTCTGCCACTTGTATAATGAGAGCTTGGTCTCTGCCACTTGTATAATGAGAGCTTGGTCTCTGCCACTTGTATAATGAGAGCTTGGTCTCTGCCACTTGTATAATGAGAGCTTGGTCTCTGCCACTTGTATAATGAGAGCTTGGTCTCTGCCACTTGTATAATGAGAGCTTGGTCTCTGCCACTTGTATAATGAGAGCTTGGTCTCTGCCACTTGTATAATGAGAGCTTGGTCTCTGCCACTTGTATAATGAGAGCTTGGTCTCTGCCACTTGTATAATGAGAGCTTGGTCTCTGCCACTTGTATAATGAGAGCTTGGTCTCTGCCACTTGTATAATGAGAGCTTGGTCTCTGCCACTTGTATAATGAGAGCTTGGTCTCTGCCACTTGTATAATGAGAGCTTGGTCTCTGCCACTTGTATAATGAGAGCTTGGTCTCTGCCACTTGTATAATGAGAGCTTGGTCTCTGCCACTTGTATAATGAGAGCTTGGTCTCTGCCACTTGTATAATGAGAGCTTGGTCTCTGTCACTTGTATAATGAGAGCTTGGTCTCTGTCACTTGTATAATGAGAGCTTGGTCTCTGCCACTTGTATAATGAGAGCTTGGTCTCTGCCACTTGTATAATGAGAGCTTGGTCTCTGCCACTTGTATAATGAGAGCTTGGTCTCTGCCACTTGTATAATGAGAGCTTGGTCTCTGCCACTTGTATAATGAGAGCTTGGTCTCTGCCACTTGTGTAATGAGAGCTTGGTCTCTGCCACTTGTATAATGAGAGCTTGGTCTCTGTCACTTGTATAATGAGAGCTTGGTCTCTGCCACTTGTATAATGAGAGCTTGGTCTCTGCCACTTGTGTAATGAGAGCTTGGTCTCTGCCACTTGTATAATGAGAGCTTGGTCTCTGCCACTTGTATAATGAGAGCTTGGTCTCTGCCACTTGTATAATGAGAGCTTGGTCTCTGCCACTTGTATAATGAGAGCTTGGTCTCTGCCACTTGTGTAATGCGAGCTTAGTCTCTGCCACTTGTATAATGAGAGCTTGGTCTCTGCCACTTGTATAATGAGAGCTTGGTCTCTGCCACTTGTATAATGAGAGCTTGGTCTCTGCCACTTGTATAATGAGAGCTTGGTCTCTGCCACTTGTATAATGAGAGCTTGGTCTCTGCCACTTGTATAATGAGAGCTTGGTCTCTGCCACTTGTATAATGAGAGCTTGGTCTCTGCCACTTGTGTAATGCGAGCTTGGTCTCTGCCACTTGTATAATGAGAGCTTGGTCTCTGCCACTTGTATAATGAGAGCTTGGTCTCTGCCACTTGTGTAATGAGAGCTTGGTCTCTGCCACTTGTATAATGAGAGCTTGGTCTCTGCCACTTGTGTAATGCGAGCTTGGTCTCTGCCACTTGTATAATGAGAGCTTGGTCTTTGCCACTTGTATAATGAGAGCTTGGTCTCTGCCACTTGTATAATGAGAGCTTGGTCTCTGCCACTTGTATAATGAGAGCTTTGTCTCTGTCACTTGTATAATGAGTGCTTGGTCTCTGCCACTTGTATAATGAGAGCTTGGTCTCTGCCACTTGTATAATGAGAGCTTGGTCTCTGCCACTTGTATAATGAGAGCTTTGTCTCTGTCACTTGTATAATGAGAGCTTGGTCTCTGCCACTTGTATAATGAGAGCTTGGTCTCTGCCACTTGTATAATGAGAGCTTGGTCTCTGCCACTTGTATAATGAGAGCTTGGTCTCTGCCACTTGTATAATGAGAGCTTGGTCTCTGCCACTTTTATAATGAGAGCTTGGTCTCTGCCACTTGTATAATGAGAGCTTGGTCTCTGCCACTTGTATAATGAGAGCTTGGTCTCTGCCACTTGTATAATGAGAGCTTGGTCTCTGCCACTTGTATAATGAGAGCTTGGTCTCTGCCACTTGTATAATGAGAGCTTGGTCTCTGCCACTTGTATAATGAGAGCTTGGTCTCTGTCACTTGTATAATGAGAGCTTGGTCTCTGTCACTTGTATAATGAGAGCTTGGTCTCTGCCACTTGTATAATGAGAGCTTGGTCTCTGCCACTTGTGTAATGCGAGCTTGGTCTCTGCCACTTGTATAATGAGAGCTTGGTCTCTGCCACTTGTATAATGAGAGCTTGGTCTCTGCCACTTGTATAATGAGAGCTTGGTCTCTGCCTCTTGTATAATGAGAGCTTGGTCTCTGCCACTTGTATAATGAGAGCTTGGTCTCTGCCACTTGTATAATGAGAGCTTGGTCTCTGCCAGTTACCAAAGAGAACAAAGTGATGTGAGTGACCTGCTGGTGAGGATCTCTCTGGCACCGTCATATACCAGAGTAATGGACTGGTGTAGAGTATACTCGTAACACTTGTCAATCTGGTGTAGAGTATACTCGTACCACTTGTCAAACTGGTGTAGAGTATACTCGTAACACTTGTCAATCTGGTGTAGAGTATACTCGTACCACTTGTCAAACTGGTGTAGAGTATACTCATACCACTTGTCAAACTGGTGTAGAGTATACTCGTAACACTTGTCAAACTGGTGTAGAGTATACTCGTAACATTTGTCAATCTGGTGTAGAGTATACTCGTACCACTTGTCAATCTGGTGTAGAGTATACTCGTAACACTTGTCAAACTGGTGTAGAGTATACTCGTAACACTTGTCAAACTGGTGTAGAGTATACTCGTAACACTTGTCAATCTGGTGTAGAGTATACTCGTACCACTTGTCAATCTGGTGTAGAGTATACTCGTAACACTTGTCAAACTGGTGTAGAGTATACTCGTAACACTTGTCAATCTGGTGTAGAGTATACTCGTAACACTTGTCAAACTGGTGTAGAGTATACTCGTAACACTTGTCAAACTGGTGTAGAGTATACTCGTAACACTTGTCAATCTGGTGTAGAGTATACTCGTAACACTTGTCAATCTGGTGTAGAGTATACTCGTAACACTTGTCAATCTGGTGTAGAGTATACTCGTAACACTTGTCAATCTGGTGTAGAGTATACTCGTAACACTTGTCAATCTGGTGTAGAGTATACTCGTAACACTTGTCAATCTGGTGTAGAGTATACTCGTAACACTTGTCAATCTGGTGTAGAGTATACTCGTAACACTTGTCAATCAATATCCAGTCATAATTTACAAAACAGAATTGTAAAAAATGAAAATAAACAATAATGAATATAAAAAAAGCAATTCGTGTATGAGAGAGCACAGTAACATAAGACCACAATAGCTCAGTAAGACACTGGTGATCAGTGTTATGCTCCCGGGCCACTGGTACTTAGTGTGCATTAATACACTAGTCTGCCCCTCTGACGGTAATTATACTTAGTACCCAACGATCACACAGACTCAGTTCAAACTGAAATAAATACTTAAAACACAAGAAAATGTGATAGTAAACAGCGCGGTGACAAATGACTATACTGTGTGTGGTCCTGTGATCAGGCAACACACCCTTGTTGCGAGGCCACAACTCAAGATGTCTGTGCAACACCGTTACCGCCGCTGTACAGATATCCGGCTTTTGCAGATGTCAGATGTCAGATGATATCTTAGTAACCGGATGGTCGGTTCCAGGGAATCAACACTTGGTAACATTTAATAAGTGATAATTTAACCCTTACGTCTGGCCAGCCCTCCCCTCACACCATGACCATGCCTACCTCACATACCATGACCTCCTCACACACCATGACCTCCTCACACACCATGACCTCCATCACACACCATGACCTCCTCACACACCATGACCTCCTCACACACCTTGACCTCCTCACACACCATGACCTCCTCACACACCATGACCTCCCTCACACACCATGACCTCCTCACACACCATGACCTCCTCACACACCATGACCTCCTCACACACCATGACCTCCTCACACACCATGACCTCCTCACACCATGACCTCCCCACACACCATGACCTCACACACCATGACCTCCTCACACACCTTGACCTCCTCACACACCATGACCTCCTCACACACCATGACCTCCCTCACACACCATGACCTCCTCACACACCTTGACCTCCTCACACACCTTGACCTCCTCACACACCATGACCTCCTCACACACCATGACCTCCTCACACACCTTGACCTCCTCACACACCATGACCTCCTCACACACCATGACCTCCTCACACACCATGACCTCCATCACACACCATGACCTCCTCACACACCATGACCTCCTCACACACCATGACCTCCTCACACACCATGACACCTCCATCACCTCACACCATGACCTCCTCACACACCTTGACCTCCTCACACACCATGACCTCCTCACACACCATGACCTCCTCACACACCATGACCTCACACACCATGACCTCCTCACACACCATGACCTCCTCACACACCATGACCTCCTCACACACCATGACCTCCTCACACACCATGACCTCCTCACACACCATGACCTCCTCACACACCATGACCTCCTCACACACCATGACCTCCTCACACACCATGACCTCCTCACACACCTTGACCTCCTCACACACCATGACCTCCTCACACACCTTGACCTCCTCACACACCTTGACCTCCTCACACACCATGACCTCCTCACACACCATGACCTCCTCACACACCATGACCTCCTCACACACCATGACCTCCTCACACACCATGACCTCCTCACACACCTTGACCTCCTCACACACCATGACCTCCTCACACACCTTGACCTCCTCACACACCTTGACCTCCTCACACACCTTGACCTCCTCACACACCATGACCTCCTCACACACCTTGACCTCCTCACACACCATGACCTCCTCACACACCATGACCTCCTCACACACCTTGACCTCCTCACACACCTTGACCTCCTCACACACCTTGACCTCCTCACACACCATGACCTCCTCACACACCTTGACCTCCTCACACACCATGACCTCCTCACACACCATGACCTCCTCACACACCTTGACCTCCTCACACACCATGACCTCCTCACACACCATGACCTCCTCACACACCATGACCTCCTCACACACCATGACCTCCTCACACACCATGACCTCCTCACACACCTTGACCTCCTCACACACCTTGACCTCCTCACACACCATGACCTCCTCACACACCATGACCTCCTCACACACCATGACCTCCTCACACACCATGACCTCCTCACACACCATGACCTCCTCACACACCATGACCTCCTCACACACCATGACCTCCTCACACACCATGACCTCCTCACACACCATGACCTCCTCACACACCTTGACCTCCTCACACACCATGACCTCCTCACACACCATGACCTCCTCACACACCATGACCTCCTCACACACCATGACCTCCTCACACACCATGACCTCCTCACACACCATGACCTCCTCACACACCATGACCTCCTCACACACCTTGACCTCCTCACACACCATGACCTCCTCACACACCATGACCTCCTCACACACCTTGACCTCCTCACACACCATGACCTCCTCACACACCATGACCTCCTCACACACCTTGACCTCCTCACACACCTTGACCTCCTCACACACCATGACCTCCTCACACACCATGACCTCCTCACACACATTGACCTCCTCACACACCATGACCTCCTCACACACCATGACCTCCTCACACACCATGACCTCCTCACACACCATGACCTCCTCACACACCTTGACCTCCTCACACACCATGACCTCCTCACACACCATGACCTCCTCACACACCTTGACCTCCTCACACACCATGACCTCCTCACACACCATGACCTCCTCACACACCATGACCTCCTCACACACCATGACCTCCTCACACACCTTGACCTCCTCACACACCTTGACCTCCTCACACACCTTGACCTCCTCACACACCATGACCTCCTCACACACCTTGACCTCCTCACACACCATGACCTCCTCACACACCATGACCTCCCTCACACACCATGACCTCCTCACACACCATGACCTCCTCACACACCATGACCTCCTCACACACCATGACCTCCTCACACACCATGACCTCCTCACACACCATGACCTCCTCACACACCTTGACCTCCTCACACACCATGACCTCCCTCACACACCATGACCTCCTCACACACCATGACCTCCTCACACACCATGACCTCCTCACACACCATGACCTCCTCTCACACACCATGACCTCCTCACACACCATGACCTCCTCACACACCATGACCTCCTCACACACCATGACCTCCTCACACACCTTGACCTCCTCACACACCATGACCTCCTCACACACCATGACCTCCTCACACACCATGACCTCCTCACACACCATGACCTCCTCACACACCTTGACCTCCTCACACACCATGACCTCCTCACACACCATGACCTCCTCACACACCATGACCTCCTCACACACCATGACCTCCTCACACACCATGACCTCCTCACACACCATGACCTCCTCACACACCATGACCTCCTCACACACCATGACCTCCTCACACACCATGACCTCCTCACACACCATGACCTCCTCACACACCATGACCTCCTCACACACCATGACCTCCTCACACACCATGACCTCCTCACACACCATGACCTCCTCACACACCATGACCTCCTCACACACCATGACCTCCTCACACACCATGACCTCCTCACACACCATGACCTCCTCACACACCATGACCTGACCTCCTCACACACCATGACCTCCTCACACACCATGACCTCCTCACACACCTTGACCTCCTCACACACCATGACCTCCTCACACACCATGACCTCCTCACACACCATGACCTCCTCACACACCTGACCTCCTCACACACCATGACCTCCTCACACACCATGACCTCCTCACACACTATGACCTCCTCACACACCATGACCTCCCTCACACACCATGACCTCCTCACACACCATGACCTCCTCACACACCATGACCTCCTCACACACCATGACCGCCTCACACACCATGACCTCCTCACACACCATGACCTCCTCACACACCATGACCTCCTCACACACCATGACCTCCTCACACACCTTGACCTCCTCACACACCATGACCTCCTCACACACCATGACCTCCTCACACACATTGACCACCTCACACACCATGACCGCCTCACACACCATGACCTCCTCACACACCATGACCTCCCTCACACACCATGACCTCCCTCATACACCATGACCTCCTCACACACCATGACCTCCTCACACACCTTGACCTCCTCACACACCATGACCTCCTCACACACCTTGACCTCCCTCACACACCATGACCTCCTCACACACCATGACCTCCTCACACACCTTGACCTCCTCACACACCTTGACCTCCTCACACACCATGACCTCCTCACACACCTTGACCTCCTCACACACCATGACCTCCTCACACACCATGACCTCCTCACACACCATGACCTCACACACCATGACCTCCTCACACACCATGACCTCCGCACACACCATGACCTCCTCACATACCATGACCTCCTCACACACCTTGACCTCCTCACACACCATGGCCTCCTCACACACCATGACCTCCTCACACACCTTGACCTCCTCACACACCATGACCTCCTCACACACCATGACCTCCTCACACACCATGACCTCCCTCACACACCATGACCTCCTCACACACCATGACCTCCTCACACACCATGACCTCCTCACACACCATGACCTCCTCACACACCATGACCTCCTCACACACCATGACCTCCTCACACACCATGACCTCCTCACACACCATGACCTCCTCACACACCATGACCTCCTCACACACCATGACCTCCTCACACACCATGACCTCCTCACACACCATGACCTCCTCACACACCATGACCTCCTCACACACCATGACCTCCTCACACACCATGACCTCCTCACACACCATGACCTCCTCACACACCATGACCTCCTCACACACCATGACCTCCTCACACACCATGACCTCCTCACACACCATGACCTCCTCACACACCATGACCTCCTCACACACCATGACCTCCTCACACACCATGACCTCCTCACACACCATGACCTCCTCACACACCATGACCTCCTCACACACCATGACCTCCTCACACACCATGACCTCCTCA